GTTTTGTATGTGCCGTGCATGCAAACTAACCATTACGATTACGCAAATATGTGGTACAAATATATAATTTTCATTAATATTGTTGTTTGGATCAATATCAAAGTCATCAAAACTTTCTCTATTACCATTTGTGTTGTGTTTTACTATTTGACTCATATCCATTTTTTCGTAAGGAACCTTTTCAAAAGCTATCTCCCATATGAGCATCCCAAAACTGAAATAAAATTGATGGTTAATAACATAAAAGTTAACGTTATGAAATTTAAAAATAACCAATTTACCTATAAATTTCACATCTTTGTGTGTATGGTTTGTAATCCTCTGTCCTTAGTTGTTCGTGCATTTTCTCTGGCGCTAACCAATGGATTATATCTATAATTTCATCACTAATTTTTTCAGAATTTGCGGAATTTCTTTTTCTTGCATATTTAAAATTTGTAAGTTTTGGTTCATCATTGGCTGTCATCTTTTTAAATTAATTAAATTAATAGTTGGTTAACGAATGATTATAAAAATTATTAACCAAAATTTAAATAACTCACCATCACATTTTGGCATCGAATATCATGATGAAAAACACCAACAGAATTTAAATAAGTTATTCCTTTACAAATGCCAAAGACAATTTGAGCTTTTAATGGCCAGGTAAGTTTCTCATCTTTACGTTCATATAATTCTTTTAAACTTCCTTTTTCAGCCCACTCAAAGACCATAACTTTATTTGTTTCTTGCATAGAAAGACCATAAAATTTTAAAATATTTGGACAATCTAATAATTTTCTTTGGATTTCCAGTTTACCATGTAATCGTCTTACTTCTTCACTCTTAATTTTTCGACTAATTGGTTTACAAGCTACATCGATGGCATCTCTATAAATCATTCTAAAGATATGTTTCGATTTTCCACGACGATCGTTAAGACTACCGTGTGGCGGTTCTTTTATTAAATGTGACTCAATTTCTCGTACATCAATTGAATCATCAGAATTACTTTCAATTTTATTTTGGACGTGTTTGATTTCTTGATAAACAATATTCGTTTGCTCTTTATGATAATTTGCAAAATCTTCCATAAACTATTTCAAAAAAAATAAAATAAAACCTTTTTATCTATTTTATTTTATTAACAAAAATAAAAATAAGTTAATGTAATAATACCTTTCTTGTTTCAACAATATCGTTTTTTAAACTT